GGGGGTGCAGCGCAGGTGTGGGGGTGCAGGTGTCGGGTGGTGGGATGCCATGCAGACACCTCTGTGGCTGAGAGCCTGGGGACCGGGGCGGGGAGGGTCTGGCTTCCCGTCATCCCCGCCGCCATCACCCACCCGGGCCGGAGACACGCTGGGTGGGCTCAGCTCTGCGGTGGCATCCCCCCCCGCCCCGGCCCCGGCGCCCGCGCCGCTGATTGGCAATCTCCCGTTTATCCGCCCTAATCGTCTAATCTCAGATAACCCCGGTTTAATTAATCTCTGCCTTCTTACCTGCTAATCCCCTGCACCCGCCGTTGCCGCAGCCGGGAACGCGGGGGCTCCGGGCTGAGCCACCCCACCCCGGGGAAGGGGTCGGGTGCCCTCGCAGAGCTGGGGCCGGGCTGCTGGCAGCTGCACAGGGCTCTGCCCTTACCCCCGGGGCAGGCAGCGGGGCTCTGCCTTGCCCTGGGACACGGTGGGAGCCAGCGCGTCCCTTCGCCTCCTCCCCAGCCCCAGCTGCGTTGGCTGCCTGAGCAGCCCAGCCCTGCAGATGGTGGGTAAATCCTGGCTGGGCATGAGAAACGCGGGCCGGAATTGTACTTCCAAGAAAATGCTCGTTCTGCTTCAGGCAGCCTTGGTGTGTTCTGTGGAGCAGCTCAGTGGCCGGGCAGAGCCAGGCCTGGGCACTGGCAGCGCAGCCTGGCCTTCCAGCAGGATGCTGGGGCAGGGGGCCGTTAGCCTATGCACACTCTTAATCAGGCTGGCTTCAGTGTAATCTGAAATAATCAAATTAGAAAGAAACCACTAATGAGCTCTGATCTCATCGTGTATCACAGAGCTTAACTCTTGCTGACGGCAGGGTTGCTGGCAGCTGTTGGGTGCAGGGGTGTGGGCAGGGGCTGCCCTTGTGACACAGCCCCACAGCAGAGCTGCTGTGGGGACAGCCAGCAGGGCACTGTGCGACGGCCGCGTGTGCTGGTGTCCTGCCTGCGCCGTGCTGATGGTGCTGCAACAGGGTGCTGAGGCAGGAGCTGCTGAGGAGGGGTGCACAGGGAGGGGTGCAGTCAGAGCAAAGCTGTGCCCGCAGACCCGTGCTGGGTGCACTGGCACCGCTGCATGGGGCTGTGTGCCACAAATGCCCCGGCTGCCGTGGGTCGGGCACCCCAGCCCATCTCGCGCTGCGTGACCTTCGTTTAATCTAGTTAATACCTAGAGTCTGCTCTGCAATCAGGCAGTATCAAACCTCCCCCACCTCCCATGTTAATAGATGGAAAGGAGATGGGAGGGGAAAATAACCAAAGATTAAACATTAATCTCCCCGGGGCCCAAAGGGATGGGGGTGGGCAGGAGGGGACCTGTTGCCTTTGGGCTCCCACTGCGCTGCCTGGGTCAGCAGGGCTGGGGAGAGGCCCTTCACTGGGCACCCAAGGATGCCATGGCTGCTCCTGGCTCTGCAGAGGGCCAGGATCAGATCTGGCTTTTAAGTAGGAGGGGGACTCTGGCATCTCCCCTTGTCCTGTCCCGGCAGGCAGGGTGCTTGGGGTGCCGGCGGACGGTGCCGAAGGAGGCTCCTCCAGACCAGCTCAGAATCTCTCTTTATTATTTAAATCCATTATGTACAACAACCAAAAATAAAAAAATGCTTTTAAATTCTCTGCGATATGAAAACTACAAGCTCTGTACATTGACTGCCGTGAGTGCAAGAGTGAAGGATCATGGTCTTTGGTGGCTAGACTTGCGCCCACGCATGCCACAGAGACACGTGTGCACACGGCCGGCACCCCCAGCCCTCGCCCTTCCAGGTGCCCCTCTTGCCTCCCCACCAGGATGGGGTGCTGGGGCAATGAGCTGACGCAGCTCATGGCCAGGGTCCACTGTGGTGGTGACTGGAGCACAAGGTGGCTCTGGCTCCCAGCACGGGGCTGCGGCGTGGGGAGGGTGCACCGGTGGTGCAGCCGGCAGAAGCAGAGCTGTGCTCGGTGCCATCCGGGCCAGGCCGCATGCTCTGCAGGGGACACCTAGGATGACTGCTAAAACATCTACATCACGCAGTGTAAACGTAGCCCAGGAACATCTGACTATGCAGCCCGGCTGCAGACCCCTTCCCGAGGGGCTGCCAGGGAGACACCAACCATGGGGATGGAGCGGGACATGGGGGTGGGCGGGGAAGGGGAGTTGAAGTCCGTGAAAAAAAGGCAGTGCTGGACATCCTGTCCGATGGACACGCTGAAGGGATTCCTGCTGGGCTGCTGTGCCCTGCAGGCTGGGCTCCCCAAGCAGCCCTGCAGTCCGGACTGGTCCCGACATCCCAAAACACGAGGGGGGAAAACTGAAGACCTCACTTTGAGAAGTATTGCGTAGAACAAGACCCTCACTTGCTGCACCAGGGGTCTGGCAGGCCCTGCTCAGCGGCAGCCAAGCCCCAGAGCACGACTACAAGCCATGGTTCCTGACTCCAGTAGTGGGAAGCAGCTTGCGCAGCATGGCGGGGTCAGGAGGGGACACTACTCTAACCAGGACTGTTAACACAGTTGGCCCAAAGCGACACTGTAAGCAGAGCTCAGCTGCTCGGCAGAGCCACAACTTGAACACACATTGCTGACTACTGGCTCTGGAGGGGCAATGTGGGTCGGCTGCGGGGACCCTGGGCCCCTGCCTTCCTGCACAGAGACCCAGGAGGGCAAGGGGAGGCAGCCCCATGGCCCTGCACGTCATCCAGGTGCTGCCCAGGGTTGGCATCTCTTCATGACACCCTTTCGCTCGCTGTAATGCTGGTGACCGGCATCTCCAGGCAGTCTGGAAATGAGACCGGAGTGCAGGGCAGGGGAGGAGCACAGCTCAGGCTGAGCATCCTCCCAGCAGCCGCAGGTAGCGGGGTTGCCCCTGGGCTATCCCCTCTGAGCATCCTCCTGGAGCTGCAGGCAGCTGGGTCTCCCCCGGCTGCCCCCTTGCCAGAGCATGGGTCTATGCCGCAGCGCCTGGGTGTGGGGGCAGAGCCCTGCCTGGCAGCACATCCCAACCCCGCGGGGACCTAGCACCTCTGAGGCAAGATGCTCCCCTGAGCCGGGGAGAGGCACCTGGGGGCTGCTCAGTGGGAGACCCATCTGCCTCCAGCTCCAACACCTGGCACTCGTCACACCAGGGGAACCCTGCCTGGGACCCCCAGGTCCTGCCACTGTGCCCCAAGGGACCTGCCAGGGCCTCAGGGAGGGGATACCTGGCCCCCGCTGGCTCTGGGTACCTGCGTTCTGTCTGCCCAGGGAGACCCTGCTGTGGGCTCCAGCCCCCTCACTCTGCCCTTGGCAATGGGCCCCGGGGGGCTGCCTCTCCCTCCTCTCCCAAAAAGCAAGGGCACTGGGCAGAGCTTTTTGGGGATCAAGGCGGACATGTGCTGGCGGCTGCTGGAGCAGCCACCAGCACTGGTCTGGCCCCGAGGAGAGGCCATGGGGGGCCCTGGCCCCCAAGCAGCAGTTGTGGGGAGCCGGGCTCACCAGGGAGGCCAGAGTTTGGGCAAGGGCTCTGACCCATCCCGTGGCCTCCAGGAGGAGGGCAGGACTCAGGACAGATGGTGATGGAGCAAGGAGGGGAGAGCCCAGGCAGGGTCCCCTCCTTGGGGCAGTCAGCAGAGCCCCCTCCTCATCCAGCTGGGCCAGCTCTGGGGCTGCCCCACACCTGTCCCTGCCATGCCCCCATGCCCGGAGCAGCCAGTCCACAGCCCCAGGTGCTGCATCTCACCTTGTCTTCCCTCCAACAGAGCCGGGGCTGGAGGCCTTCGCCAGGTGCCCTGCCTCTCCCGCCGCCGCTGCCGCCAGGGTGCCAGGACCCCTCCTGCTTGTGCATGGGTGCCGCTGGGGACTCACATGTTGGACGGGAGTTTGGGCTTCCCTGTTTCCACCTCGGGGCTGAAGGCCACGGAGCCCTTGCAGGAGGGACCTGCTGCCTGCCTGGATGCGGAGACCGGGGACTGTGGGGTGGATGCTCCCGCCACGGAGCGGCTGGGTTGAGCCAGCGATCCTGAAGGCATCTGCTGCGAGTGTGCTGGCTGGCCTGGGATCCCCGGACATGGCTTGGCGAGGAGTCCGGCTACCGAGGGAGAGGATCTGCGGGCCAGGTTCCCCACAGATTTCCTGCCCTGCTGCAAGGAGCTCCCATCGGCTTGCTGGGCCACTTTATTGGGAAGGGAGGGCTGGGAGGCGGAGAGGAGCCGGACATCCTGGGTGAGCCGCCCCACCGGCAGGCCCTGGGTGCTCCTGTGCTTCACCAGCTGCTGGGGCTGCATCAGAAGAGAGATGTGGGAGCCGGTGGCTCGGGACAGGCTGTAGTGGAGCGTTCTCCCCGCCGGCAGCACCTGCTCTGAGCTGGGGGACGGAGCCCCTGCTGCCTGCTGCAGCAGCGAGGTGGAGACCGAGGCGCCGCGGGACTTGGAGAGCTGAGGCTGGGAGCCAGCTGGGGCCTGCTTGGCCGCCGCAGGCAGATCCCCCTTCTGCGCCGCGCGTGGCAGGGGCTGCCCCCCATGGCTTGGTCTCTGGCCCCCGCTCTCCAGGGGTGCCTGGGACTGGACCATGGGGGAGGAAGGCGAACCGGCAGCGGGCGTCTGGAGGTGGGACTGCGCC